ATTCTATCTCTCATCAATCTCTACTTGTTTGTATGACCTTGTAGGTTCTCATGACGCTAGAAGTTATACTAAATTACATATTTAATATAATAAACAATGAGCGATATCTAGCAACACATCTTTGCTACTCAAGTCATGAAAATGTCATGTGTTATGTAAAAATCTTTTTGTGATAATGTTTGTGTGTACAAATACCCTTTTGTCCTCATGTCTATATTGAACACAAGGAATAAACTATGTCACCATTTTCCAACTCAAAATTTGGCCCTTATACATATATCGTATTATGCATAATGGACAAATTTCATATCGGTCACCCATGTCTCTCAAAATTATTTGTGGACAACAATCTTTATGGCCATCATGTTATGGACAATGTTTGATTGGAAATAAAGTACTTGACTCCACATCTAGGATCCATATTGGTTTCAGGTTAAAGTGTGGTATAAACCATTATCACTTTTAGAATAACTTATGACACTTCCATAACATTTTATGTAGTATTCTCATGAGGGGTAAATCTAATATAAGTATCACTCTTAACATTCATACATATGTGAAGACTTGATTTTATCCATGATCCATGAGATGTGATCATCATCCTATCTATATAATAGTCTTAATGCTTTAATGTTATCCTATTTCACAATAAAGTTTGACTATGAATACTTTAAAAATAATGTCCTTATGTTTAATGAAATCTCACAATTAAGTCACACTTAATGTTTCATTAAACGAAAAAGCTATTCTAGGGACTTAACAAAGAAATGCCTTTATTATTATTGGCCTATATGGCTTACATAAACAATGATATATTCAAAGATTATAATGTATTGTGTTCAAGGAAACTCTTGGATGATTTGGATTTATTTTGAATTTCCTATTTGTAAAAGGGAAAATACAAATTCATACCCCTGTCGTGGCTTATAGGAAAGGCATGTTACTCGGATATAAGTTAGTCATACTTCTTTAGAAACATGCATGTTTTCTTAGGCATTATCCGATTAGAATGTGTTTATTAGGGCGAGCTCATGTGATTCTAGATACCCGTATACTTGGGCTCAGATAAAGGGAAACATGATTCAAAATGGAGCCCATAAACCTACACATGGTTAAGATTGGGTTCATAGTCTTATTTTAAAGCTAACCAAAATTCTTGTCACATTAGGTGAAAACATCTAAAGTATTAGGTCGATGTTTTGCTAGAAGGTTCATCAAATCTGTTTTAAAGCTTCTGTGTCAGGTGACAGATGTTCTTCAGCCTTTAGAATTGGTAGGGTGTCTAGATATCAGGTTCGTTCTTACCACCATACATGTTCGCGTTTGTTGTCAGGAGATGGTGTAAACTTGTCACAAACTTTTGGCAATCTCAATTTTCTTTATTATCTTTATCCCTGAATCTAGGTGACATAGGGTGAGTCACACATCATTTTTATGCAGAAACTAAGGCGCAATGATGATGTATGTGGGAACCAGTTTTTTTTGTTAATCACATGTTTATCACTTTGAATGGTGGTTATTTATTGTCACACGTAACACTGTGCTATTTTGTGTTATGAATTGAGTGTTCGTTGGTTGCTTCTTTTTAAGTATGAGGTGACACCAGCCTCGGTATTCCTAGATTGCATGTTCGTTAGATGCTTATGCTAGAATGAATGGTGGCGTTACCCTAGATGATGTCCCTCCAAATTTGAGGGATGATAAAGATAAAATAGTGTAACATTTTGAAAGCATTGAGAATTTCTTACAGATGACGCTAAATGATCTGGGAGATCTGGATGATATGATCGGTGATGAACTCTTCGATGTTGGTCACTGTATATTGATCCCGACGGTGTGAGCGTACTAACAAAATACTCCGACGATTAAGTTAGTATAAGTCGCGAGTGTGAGATTTAAAGTTTTAGAATAATGTGTACTTGAGTCTTAACTATTTATTAGGCTTCATAATAGGATTATAGAGTTTACATGCTCTAAAGTCCTCTTTAAGAACAACAATCTTAAAGCACAAAGATGTTAGAAGATCTTGTAAGCTTTACTATTTAATAATCTCATGTAGAAGCAAGCTTCAAGCGCATAAAAGTTTTGATGAAAACAACAAATTTTCTACGCAACATGTGTATGCAAAAAGCAAGAGACTTAAATGACACAAAGTTTCAATATGGTGTTCTAGCATATGTCAAATGGATCAAAGCTTCACATACATACTAATCAAGTTTCAAGTATTGAAGATAGAATATTGAACAACAACTAAAAGGTATACCTAATATCATTTAAAATACTTATACAAGTGTTCAATTTTTCATCTCTCACTTCACATATATCACAAGACATTTTTAAAACACTTTTAGTAGCTTACTCTTTTTAAAATTAATTTTGTTTTGAAAAACTTTCAGTGTTAACCGATTAACCCCTATGGTTAACCGGTTAACTGTTTCTAAAATTAATTGTTTGCTAAATTACTTACAGTGTTAATCGATTAACCTATATGGTTAACCGGTTAACAACTGTTGATTTTGAATTTTTTCTAACGTTAAAGGGGTGTTAACCGATTAACCTATATGGTTAACCAATTAACCCTGAAGCAATAAGCGAAAAATGACAGCTTTTCCTGAAAATATGCATTGTTTTCTTTTGTTTTCTGACAGTTTTTGCTGCATAAAATTATACCCTTCTGTAGAGGTATATTATACAGTATATATACATATCAGTTTTCAAATTTCAATTGACCTCCAAGAAACTTAATCATCAAATTCACTCATTCTCTTCATCTTTCAATATTTCCTAAAAGTGTTCACACAAACAGTTTTTTTTTTGAGAGAAACTTTTGAATAAATTTCACACATTATCACAGTTTCATCTCATACTTTTCAAAGAACACTTGTATATTTCTTTTGAGTGATATTTGTTTCAAGAAGAAGATCGATCGTGAAGATTGATAACATTATACTCTCAAGACATCAAATTTATATCAAGATTATCTTTTGTATTACCTTGTTGTCCAGGATTGTTGGAAACAAGTGAGTGTTTGAAGAGGATTGTTCTTCCTACACTTTAGTTACCTATAGATTAGATAGTAGGCTTCACCTTTGGTGTGATTAGGCTATATCATCATTCTAAACTATAGTGAAATCTCTTTCGAGTCGAAAGGGGAGTGGAGTACTCTTGGAGTGTGAGGGGAACCACTATAAATTTCTTGTGTCTCTTTTTCCTTTCTGCACTTTACTTTCAAGTCCTTAACATTTTAACCGAAAAAGAATCAAGAATCAGAAAAAGATTGAAGATAATTTTTGAGAACCTAATTCACCCCCTCTTAGGCGCATTTACAAGTTACATCTCAAAGATCCTCTTAATTCTGATTGAGTCAACTCTAAAACATATCTATCCATTAGTCCGTTCTACTTGAAGAAATGTCTCATATGGATTGTACGTTGATCCATTTTAGAATAAGTAATTTTGTGTCATTTGCCATCATTTTATCATTTTGACTCTCTTCATAATTTTAATAGCATTTTTAAAGAAAAAAAGGAAATCATATTGTTTTTGTTAATTAAAGTAATACTAATAGAATTCAGACTCTTTTTCTTCGTATTTTCAAACTAAATTCTTACACTAAATTAGACATTTCTTTTAAAAAATTGTATATATTCGATATGCATAATTACATAGACTAATCATTTGAATTAGAAAGAATCATAATAGATAGTAATTTTTTTTTAATTTAATATTGTTGCGTGTTAGAAGTGTATTTGAATTCAAAATCTTTAATTAAATTAGGAAAAAATCGCATACTATTTTATTCAAATGCTCTTTGATTAATTTAGGCTTTCGTGCGTGATTCATTTTTCTTTCTATGACAATGTTTTAAAAACTGGATCGAGTCGGCCGGTTCAATCGGTTGGACCAAAAATTAGAGATAAATTCGATTGAGTCAACCTTTCAAAACTGTTAGTGGGTCAAAGCCGGGGTTAAATTAGAAAAATCATATTGAACCGTTCAAAATCATTCGAACCAAAGAACCGAAACTGGTTTTGTAAAACCGTCCGGTTCAAAAAAATTTATTAAATTGACCTTTTTTTTTTAATATGTTAATATCAAAATTTAACATATATTTCCAAATAACAAAAAAAAATTTGTGTGTGTTTACGACCATACAAATTTCTATGTTTTGTCATTTTATTATAGTTTTTCTTTCAACCACATTCCATCATTAGCATGCCATGCCGTCTCTTTCAAACATAGACACGATGTCCAACTCTATTGATTGCCGTTCAAGTCAATATTGTTTGTTATTATCAATTAAAGCTTGTTTGTCGTAGTTCAACTCAAATTCAATATTTTGTTGTTTAATAAAGTATATTGTATTATTTATATTTTGATATTTTATCTTATTTAATTTAGATATTTTTAATTATTTAAAATTTATTTTAGTTATTATATTCTATTATTTTAATTTTGGTTTGAATTAGTTTAATTTAATTTATCATAATTTTTTAGTTTAGTTAAAATATTCTTAAATGACATTTGAAATGAAGTGTAAAATTATGTTATATTATATATTATTGACATTGTTGTATTAAATTTTTAAAATATTTATTTTATTAAATTAAGAACATATAATAATGTATAATATATATATATATATATATATATATATATATATATATATATATATATATAATTTAATTTTATATTATAATTTAATTTAATAAATAATTCGACTGTAATTTAATCAATTTAACAAATTAAATCTTAAATAGTAAGTTTCACGAATTGGTTACTGGTTTTTAAACCATTGTTTCTGTGCAACTATCATAATATTTATTTGACGTTACATTTATTTCTATTTTTTATGGTTCAGGACAAGTTTTACATGTTTAGTTGAACGGTAACATGAATTAAACCCTCATTTTGCATCGTCTTACAAATAGATAAAACATAAATAGACCAATAAATTTTGGAAGGGAAGAGAACGTTGGTCTGCGCTCCAAAACCTTAGAATGGCTCTCCTCGGATCAAACATAGCAAGCGAGGTTCGCATTCATTCTTCTTCTCTTTCTCTCTTACATTTTTCGATTCATCTACTTGTGCGTATTCATTCTACTATTTTTCACCATGATCCTGTTCTTAGTTTCTAGGGCGTCGCAAAATCCCCCAATTAATAGCAATCGAATTTAGGGTTTAGATTGATGTTTGAGCGATTTGGTGCAGGTTGGACTCCGTTTACTCCTTTATCCTCTTGGTTCCAACGTTGTACTTCGAACCGCATGGTAACCTATTTTTCATTTCACTATTTGTACTGTTTATAATTTTATTCATGTTTTTATTCTAAGTGTTGATTTCATGTTTGTTGTAGCTGTTCTGTGGGAGTTGCTTTGCCTGTGTACTCTACATTCAAAGCAATAGAAAGTAAAAACCAAGATGCTCAACAAAGGTGTCTTGTCTACTGGGCAGGTATGAATTTATCTAAACCCCTCATAAATGACCGACCTAGAATCCGGCAGTTTCGGGTTCGAGCCTGCAATGTCAGCTTTGGACTGGGGCACTATGCCTGATTGAAGCAATTATGGAGCTATTTCATGAAAATCTTGCTTAGGCCAAAATAACCTTGATGCTTTTATTTTAGAGGAACTTGATCAAATTAGTAATCTATCTCTAAGTATATTTGACTGTTATAAAAGGGGATGTAAACCATCGAAGTCAAGCTGGGGTGGTTGAAATGGAGGGGGTTTTAGGAATTTTATGTGATAGAAAGGTACTATTTAAGTTGAAGGGAGAATTTTATCAATGTGATGTTGTATGAGACAAAATGTTGGGCGCTTAAGAATCAACACGAGAATAAAGTAAGTGTAGCAGAGATGAGGATGTTGCGTTGGATGTGTGGTTAGATTAGACCTGATTAAGATTATAAATGTCAAGATTAGAGAGTGTTGAGGTAGCATCTATAATAGAAAAGATGGTGGAAAATAGACTTTGGTGGTTTGGGCATGTAGAGAGAAGATATGTAGATTCTGTGGTAAGGAGAGTAGATCAGATGGAGAGGAGTCAAATAGCTAGAGGTAGAGGAAGACCTAGGAAAGCTATGAGAGAAGTTATTAACAAAAATCTTGAGATTAACAATTTGGATAAAAACATGGCAATGAATAGAACATTATGGCGGAAGTTGATCCATGCAGCCGACCTCACTTAGTGAGATAAGACCTGGTTGTTGTTGTTGTTCTAGATCTTGCATTTTCCACCTCAAGAGACTTATAGGAATTTATATTCCCCTCCATTTTTATGCATTATACTGTTCTCCAGACTGGAGATTGCATGTCATTGTACTTGCTTTTGATAAACATTTCTTCTTGAGCATGTTTCAGTTGTTATGAATGTACGAAGTCACCAATGCGGTCTTATTGTGTCTAAATATAGTCTATTGTTTATCATGATGTATTTATCTCCGCTTTTGATATTGACAGCCTTCGGCTCATTCAGCCTCGTTGAAGTATTCACAGACAAGCTTATTTCTTGGTATAGTTTAATCTGTTTAAGTTGGTTGTATTATGCTGTTTCTCTTCGATTTTTAAAGGTCGATTTTTCTTCTTCTGTAAACATAATGCACTACCTTCTTGATAGAAAGATTTATCTCTTATATGGTTGGTAGTATTTTTTTCGTTTTCTCATCGGATTATTTGCTTTTTGACTTGCAATGAACTGAATTACTTGTTGTAATTTTTTTCGTTTTTTTTCAGGGTTCCCATGTATTATCACGTCAAGTTTGCATTTCTTGTTTGGCTTCAGCTTCCACCTACCAATGTGAGTTTCATAAACATTCAGAAATGTTTTTAGCAATTTGACAAATGTACTACCTCCGTTTCAAAATGATTGTCGTTTAAAGTTATTGCACACATATTAAAGAACGTAATAATATTGTCCTAAGACAATACAATACACTTTTACTAAATTAACCTTATTAATGTGTTGGAAATAGTATACAAAGTAACAAATAAAGGACACAATTGAAAAAATAGTAATCATTTCTACATTGAGAATTGAGAATGAGAGTCATTTTGAAACAAATTTTATTTGTTAAAACGAGAGTCATTTTGAAACAAATTTTATTTGTTAAAACGACAGTCATTTTAAAACGGAGGGAGTACTATTTTTTCCCTTCCAAAAATCCTTATTGATCATGAATGGTGCGGTGCGGCTAAATGAAGCTCTGAAAGTTCAGTAACATTTTATTAGATTATCGATGTGTTTCTTGTAATACTCTTGTTGTCCAAAGCATGGTTTTCAAACTTACGAGTTAAATTTGAACCCAAAATTGAGGGCACATTCAATTGTTAATAATTTGCCTCTTTAATGTGTCAGATCTGTTATGTTTTTTTGCTAACAAACTTGTTGCATTCAAGCAGGGAGCTAAACAGTTATACATGAACCACGTGCGCCCCTTCTTGATTAAGCATCAAGAGAATCTTGATCGCGTTTTAGGCCTTGCATATTGTGAAGTGGTTTGTCCCATACTGTTCATTCTTTCTTCAAAGTATACCAATAAAAATCTCACGTTCCTATCAATGATGAAGATAATCTAGGAAGGATTGTGTAGCTTGCTTATATTTTGTGCATCAAATTGAAAGACAAATAATATTTAACGGTTAAATTTGAATGAACACGTGCAGATCAAGCTTGTCAGTTCATATCAAAAAGAGATCCAGTCAGTCAAGATCATCGTAGGAAAGATAACCAAATCAGGTGAAACACTATTTCTGTGCTATGCAATAGCTTTGCTCGTTATGTAAGCTACTAAACTACAAATTGAAATTTCTCTATCTGTATGAATCAGCTGATAAAATGTTGAGAAGCCCACCTACCGCATCAGATAGATCGTCGCAACATAGTTCAGTTGATGAATCTGTCAAGCCGCCCAATGCCGATCCTGACCAAGACAATAGCTAATCAACCAAAAGGGTTTGGTTCACTGAAACTTCTGAGTCAATATATGTTCCTGTTAGACTTTCATCTGTTAGTCTTTTCTTAAATGTTGGGATCCTTTTTCTGTGAGAAAAAAACATAAGCTTTCTTTTGATAGGATGTCATAGATAAATTTTCTGAGATTTGCTTTTCTGCAAAGATTGGAAGCTGTCAAGATTTTTGTTAATATTTTGTTGGTTTTATTTATAGATTTACTTTTAATGATTGGTTTATAATTTTGTTTGTCTGTTGATTTTATAGATCAACTTTTAATGATTGGTTTATAATTTTGTTTCTCTGTTGATTTTATAGATAAACTTTTAATGAATGATTCATAGTGTTGCTACACACGTTATTTAAATTTTCACAGCTTCAAGCTGCATTCCTCAAATTCATTCTAATATTAAGATTAGTTAGAGTCATTGCTGAACAGGCTCCTAAAAAGGTTCTGACAAACACAAATTGTTGAAGCAACTATATAAAGAAGGTTAACAATCATGATGAAGAAAATGACATACCATCACAAACATTTGATTGAAGCTCCCTTTCTTGTTCCAAGCTGTTTCCTACAAAGAAATATAATTCATGAGAATTAGATTGCATAGAATACAAAGGAGCTACAATCATAGTTCTGATTGTCTATTATTTTAAAAAAAAAAATTGTGCTATTTTTTTTAGAATTATACCTACCAGCTCTCACTTATACCTGACACTCTTCATTTGTAATGAAATTTCATTAGTCCTTTTTAAAATTTTCAAAAATATGAAATTTTCGGATGAAAATCTGAAATTTCACCAATATACCGAAAATCTCGCTAAAATTATCTTGGATAGACTTGCATTTGACACACAGACATACACCGGAAATTTCAGAATTTTCGGTATGTGTGGTATACTAAATATATTATAGTTCCGTAAATTGGAAAAATATTTTGAAAACTAAATTTCCGGTATTAGTCCAGAATTAAAAAAAAAAAGGGCATAATTTCAATATTTTGCCCACATTGCACTGCATAAATGATTTCACAAATAATAAATACATAATATCCACAAAATTACATAGAAAATTAAGACGACTTTCTAAGTTCTTCCTCTCAGTGCCTAATCCATCCCGCATATGCTGATTCTCATGCTTTTGCTTCTTTAGTATATTTCTGTCTCCAACGGTCAGTGACAGGAGACAATGGGCAATCAGGTTTTAATTTGACTTGAACCCAATGATTGTTGTTAACACAACCAACAACAATGATTTTATGCTTGCTCGTATACATAGATGAAACTATGGTAAGAGGGGGAAAAATAATGTTAACTCTTTGTGACAAGGAGACAAAGACGACATTGTACCTACTCGCAATAGGGTAACTCATATCAGAAAGCGACATTCATTTTTCTCGACCCTGCACACTTAAGTGTTATACTATTAAGGAATTCCTAACTTTAGCAACAATGTCATAGAACATTTTGAAAAATAATTTTGGGTGTTGATGAATTAGAGTATTCAACTGAGTCCGGACCAATGACCATGACTCTTTGCCCCATCCAAGTAAAGCTGCAATAGCCCGAAAACCACAATTTTCATCGTCACCCACATCAATGATGTCATCAATGTATGGATGCAAGAAACCAAGAAACTGAGACAAGTAAAGATGCCTAGAAGATACATTGGACGATTGACTTTGACCCGACATACTTGAAGGTTGAGTTAGACCCGACATAGTAGAAAGTTGAATTTCTGTTAGGTTTGTGCATGATCTCTTTGTAGTCTGACTCCCATGCGAGTCCTCACCATACTCCCATTGTGAGGGATCACGATGTACATCACTCTCTTCACCCTTTCTGCTCTTCTTAACTCTCCTCTTTGGCCTGTACTTCACCGGCGGTGGACACATAGAAGTTGTGGTTGGATGTGTTAGTTCCCACACTTTTTTCTTCAACACCCTCTGACCTACAATATCCAAAGAATTGAAATATATCTTCAACACCCATCTTTCTGCCATTATCCTCATGACAGTTAGCATTCGCTTAAATGTGTAATTTCTTCCAAAAAAACATGAATTGGTTCTAAAGGAACACGAAGTCTTGTATTTGGAAACTAGTAAGTTGACGTGCACAAGGTAACCCATGTGTAGATCTAATGAATCAACCATAACGAAGAACACGAAGCACATCAGTGTAGTGAACTTCAGTAGGTTGGCTCGTGTGCTGACTTAGTTGTTGGATAAAATATGATATGTCTGGTCTTCTATTGAGAAGGTAGATAAGCTGTCCCACAAGCCTGCGATATTTGGTTGGATCTTGTATTGGTTTGCCATCCATAATTGTCAATCTGGTGTCACGAGCCATTGGTGTAGAAGCTGGTTTGCAACCAAGCAAGCCTGTGTTGGATAACAGATCTTGAGTGTATTTGCGTTGGTTGATGTGGAAGCCGAATTTGTTTCGTGCTATTTCAAGACCTAGAAAGTATTTCAGTGTTCCCAGGTCTCTGATTTGGAAATGCCTATGTAGTAATGTCATGGTAGTGTTAATAACATCCATACTTTCTCCTGGAATGAGAATGCCATCAACGCACATGAGCAAAAAAGTAAAGTGTGATTGATGGTGGTGTATAAAGAGAGAATGATCAGAAGAACATTGAGTGAATGCATTAGCTAACAGAACTTTGAACAATTTTTCAAACCATCATCTACTGGATTGCTTTAAACCATAGATATATTTAAGTAATCTGCAGACTTGGTTTGGATAGGATGGTTGTATGCCTTTAGGAAGAGCCATATCGACTTCCTCATCTAAATCACCATGTAAAAAAGCATTGTGCGCATTGTAACACCCCCTTTCTATACCCCCAAATAATATAAATAATCATTTAGGCATAAATTCAAAATTTCATCAGAGTACATTTATATCATGGCATAAAAGGGGCATGTCACATTATACCCAAAAATTTAACATATACAAGACCTGCTCAACAGATATGCAACGACGGGGCAACACCCACAAGGAAAATATTTAGAACATAGGCGGAAACATCTAAATATTTCATAACTTCCAAAACATGTAATCACATACATGTACATCATTCAAGTTGATTTACAACATCATCAATATTCAACCAACATGTTCATATAAACATTCTTCAGCAGATACAAACATAGATATATCACAAAAGAATCAAAATAATCCTACTCGGTGCTACATATCAGAGCCGACCGACCAAAAAGGGATGAAGTCACGCTTCACAAATATACTTCCAGCCAACTAATCTGCAATGCCTCATAGAGCATTATAAAACAACTGAAGGGTGAGAAACAATATCATAATACATAATGCATATCAACATATATATATATATATATATATATATATATATATATATATATATATATATATATATATATATATATATATATATATATATATATATATATATATACACACACACACACACACACACACACACACACACACACATACACACACACACACACACACACACACATACACACACACATAACATCCAAAAACGTCTTCCGCATTCTCACCGAAACTCATCTCACTACACCATACATCACAATGTATTCACAATTAACTATTTACAAATAGAACACTAAGCATATACAATATGCATCATCAATGTTTATATTACTTCATAAACATACACACATATAATGATATACTCACACATACATGTATCTTCAAAAATTCCATTCATGCCAATTATCAACAACTTACATAAACATCTACAATCATGTTTATTCACCGTACATCATGCAAAGATGATAAATGCAAATCATAGAGGCCAACTCGCTACTCTACGCAAATGTAATACGATACCGACTTAATCGTCCATCAGATTCTCCGAGGAATCACATTGTTCATCAGATTCTCCGAGGAATCACATCGTTCATCAGATTCTCCGAGGAATCACATCTTTCGTTAGATTCTCCGAGGAATCACATGGCTCATCAGATTCTCCGAGGAGTCACATCGTTCATCAGATTCTCCGAGGAATCACATCGTTCATCAGATTCTCCGAGGAATCACATCGTTCATCAGATTCTCCAAGGAATCACATCGTTCATCAAATTCTCCAAGGAATCACATCGTTCATCAGATTCTCCAAAGAATCACATCGTTCATCAGATTCTCCGAGGAATCACATCGTTCATCAGATTCTCCGAGGAATCACATCGTTCATCAGATTCTCCGAGGAATCCTATCACTCATCAGACTATCCTAGGAATCACATTACTCATCGGACTCTCCTAGGAATCCTATCACTCATCAGACTCTCCTAGGAATCCTATCACTCATCAGACTCTCCTAGGAATCAACATCACAAGAATGTACTTCATGATGCTTCACATGCAAAATGACTCCATACCCTTCTTGAAATGCATACATGTTTACAAACATACTCATGCATTCTTCACATTCATCGCATATATTCATTATGCATTCACAATATATATACATATCACAATACATATATACATATTCATCATTCGATCTCAACATGCATTTCTATTTAATTCAAGTAAATGCACCAAATTGCCAAACGACCACATTCCACACTTCACGAATCACAAACTAGGACTCACGCCATACGGCCACCCACAACACATATAACAACATATAATTAGTCATCTCATACAAGGAATGATCGCAACCAAACCACACAAACAATCCACGAATGGGAAACACAAGAAAAGAAAGTATGCTGCTGTGTTCGCTAACCTTCGCCTGGCGAAGCCCCTGGCGAACCTTCGCTACTCCGTTCGCCTGGCGAACTTGCCAGCGAAGACCACTGGGATTTATTCTGGAATTACTCGCTAGCACTCGCTAGCATACTCGCCTGGAGAACCTTCGCCACTCTCATTCGCCTGACGAACTTGCCAGCGAAGACAGGGTGGATGCTACTGACTTGGTTCGCTGCTGCTCGATGGGCTTCGCCTGGCGAAGCTTCGCTGCCACTCGCCTGGCGAACC